AACCTTCCTTCTGAGGAGTGGCTGGTGGGTTTGAACCGCCAGCCTTCTGGTTAGCAGTCAAGTGCCTTAGGCACTATGCTACCAGAGCTCCTAACATGCTCTATAGGTGATGCTTAAACAAATGTGAAAACCACGAGGTCATCAAACTGCAAAATTAGTTGAATGAATGTATTTTGAGGTATTTGTGTCTTTTCTGCATTGGGCTTTGTGAGGAGACATGATTTCTGTGTGCTGGGTCAGAGCTGAAAATTTATAGTTTTTGTAAAAGATGAGATCCTATCCTTTCTACATTCATTCATTCCTTTATGTTTCTGGGTATGCAGTTTTGTGTGCAGGCTTATTTGCCTTGGACCTCTTTTGACACATACCTGCTCATCTGTGAGTTGAGGACCTGACTCCCTTCCCACTGAGTATTTTTGAGGAATAAAAGGAAGAGGTCATTCTCTTTGAAGATGAACTCAACGGACCACCTTCAGAATGCTCCCAATGCCACGTCACTACACGAGCCTCACTCACAGGGAGAAAACAGCACCTCTCTCCAGGAGGACCTCCAGGATCTCATCCACACAGCCACCTTGGTAACCTGTACTTTTCTACTCGTGATCATCTTCTGCCTGGGCTCTTACGGCAACTTCATTGTCTTCTTGTCCTTCTTTGATCCAGCCTTCAGGAAATTCAGAACCAACTTTGATTTCATGATCCTGAACTTGTCTTTCTGTGATCTCTTCATTTGTGGTGTGACAGCTCCCATGTTCACCTTTGTGTTGTTCTTCAGCTCAGCCAGTAGTATTCCAGATACTTTCTGCTTCACCTTTCATCTCACCACATCAGGCTTCATCATCATGTCCCTCAAGACAGTGGCCGTGATTGCCCTCCATCGGCTCCGCATGGTGTTGGGAAAGCAGCCCAATCGCACAGCCTCCTTTCCCTGCACATTGCTCCTTACTCTGCTTCTGTGGGCCACCAGCTTCACCCTTGCCACCATGGCTACCCTGAAAACCAGCAAGTCCCACCTGTGCCTTCCCATGTCCAGTTTGATTGCTGGAGAAGGGAAAGCCATTCTGTTGCTCTATGTGGTTGACTTCACCTTCTGTGTTGCGGTGGTCTCTGTGTCTTACATCATGATTGCTCAGACCCTGCGCAAGAATGCTGAAGTCCGAAAGTGTCCCTCTGTGATCACAGTTGATGCTTCTAGACCACAGCCTTTTGTGGGAGCCCCTGTGAAGGGAAGTGATCCCATCCAGTGCACCATGCCAGCTCTCTACAGGAACCAGAATTACAACAAACTGCAGCACATTCAGACTCATGGATATACCATGAGTCCCAACCAGCTGCCAATCTCTGCAGCCAGCCGGCTCCAGCTGGTATCAGCCGTCAATCTCTCCACTGCCAAGGACTCCAAAGCAGTGGTCACCTGTGTGATCATTGTGCTGTCGGTCCTGGTTTGCTGTCTTCCACTGGGGATTTCCTTGGTGCAGGTGGTTCTGTCCAACAGTGGGAGCTTCATCCTTTATCAGTTTGAACTGTTTGGATTTACCCTTATCTTTTTCAAGTCAGGATTAAACCCTTTTATATATTCCCGGAATAGTGCAGGGCTCAGAAGGAAAGTGTTCTGGTGCCTCCAATACATAGGCCTAGGCTTTTTCTGTTGCAAACAGAAGACCCGACTTCGAGCCTTGGGGAAAGGGAACCTGGAAATCAACAGAAATAAGTCCTCTCATCATGAAACAAACTCTGCCTACATGTTGTCTCCAAAGCCACAGAAGAAATTCATGGATCAGGCTTGTGGCCCAAGTCATTCCAAGGAAAGTATGGTAAGTCCTAAGATCTCTGCTGGACATCAGCACTATGGTCAGAGCAGCTCAACCCCTATCAACACACGGATTGAACCATACTACAGCATCTATAACAGCAGCCCTTCCCAGGAAGAGAGCATCCCACATAACTTACAGCCAGTAAATGCTTTTGGATTTGCCCACTCATACATTGCCATGCATTATCACACCACTAATGATTTAATGCAAGAATATGACAGCACTTCAGCCAAGCAGATTCCAGTTCCCTCTGTTTAAAGTCCTGGATACTAGAGAATCTCATAAACTGATTTTTTTTTTTTTACTTTTGTGAGATGAGTGGTATATTAAAACTTAAAGATGCAGCTAAACCACTGACAATTATGATTTTCTTTTGTCTGAAGTATTAGCATCTATCGATTTACTTTGTAGTTCTTCAACATTTTAAGACTTGGTGTAAAAGCTTATTATTTAGATTTTCACCCTAACTTGTGTCCCAGTCTTTGTACTGAATTTTTGAATACATGCCAGGAATGACTATGCTACTATATTGAAGTAGAAAAATCAACAGATTATGATCATTTGACTCAGTGTTATGGGTCTTTGAAGTATATGCTCTGGCTGGATTTTTAAAAGACTTCAAAGGTATGATCTTTGGTGGAGGTGTCATTTTTTAAATAGATTTCAATTTTTGATTCTTTAAAGTGTTGAAACAGGAAACAGGCTGATTTGAATAAATAATATATTATTAAAGGAGAAAATCAGAAATACTTTATTTGTAACTATACCCTTCCCAAAAATACTCACAGGTATTAGGTATTAGGTACTTCCTCTCATAAGTCAGTCAACTAAGAATGTATTATAATTATTGCCATTTCTTATAGGTATTATGATTTTGTGTCAGTTGAGTAGAGAGAGAGATGTTTTTGCTTGTTAAATATGAATTGCTCTATTTCAGAATGATGTAATCCAAGAATCCCATTGACGAGGACTGCATATATAATTAGAAAAAAACAGTAAACCAGTTGCCACCCAGGTGACTCCTACTCATGGGAACCCCATGAAGGTCAGAGTAGAACTGTGCTTCGTAAGTTTTCAATGGCTGATTTTTTGGAAATAGATCACCAGACCTTTCTTCTGAGGCACCTTTCAGTTAGCAGCTAAGCACAACCCAGAGATGCATTGATAGTAGGGGGATGGTATTCTTGGAAGAGTAAATGCAATTGTGGCCATCTTGTTGTTGTTGTTATGTGCCGTTGAGTCAGACCTGACTCACAGCAACCCCTCCTTGGGTTTCCAAGGCAGTATCACTACGGAAGTAGATTGCCCCATCTTCCTTCTGTGGAGTGGCTTGGGTTTGAACCACCAGCCTTCTGATTAGCAGTCAAGTGCCTTAGGCACTATGCTTAGGCAGGGTGTTACATGGAAAGCAAGCTGGATTGTTATCTTTATTATTGCTTAACAAGGCATGGGGATGAGATTGGGTGTGTTTTAATGTATGCTTGCCTTTTGTGTGAGAAGGGTTTATTAACAACCTGGCAAAGAATATCATCTAAGTAACTATTTATAGATAACTTCTTTTTTGACTTTATTTATATATTACTGTGGTAGAAAAATTCTTAAGATGATCTATTTTCAAACTAAGTGTCTTCTCTCTATTCCATTACTCCTAAACTGGAAATGGACATTAAGGGAAAAGTAGATTAAGCATTTCTATATCTAAAGCTAATTTTATTATATACTCTGATTCCTAGCATAACAACTGTGAACTCATATTTTTATGTAAAAAATATTTTCATTATATAGTTAACATTTGAACTCACTAGAATTTTGGAATTATAACCACTAGACACAAGATGAGCATCACGACACAAGCCCTGTCTTTATAAATTAGTATATTCAAGGACTATTGTCAGTAGGAAGGCACTTTTTTCCTTTGAATGAGAAGCACTCAATTTGCAGCACCCTCCCTCAGGCAGGTCTCAGAAGCAAAGATCATGAGAGGTGTGGAGGAGACAGTGTATTTGTACAGCAAGAGTTCTGTTCAGCCTCATCTAACAACTCTTGCCTTCCAGTATTGACCAGTCATTTCCATTTCTGAGAATTAAGTGTGAGGTATGGACTTTACTTTGTTTTAAAATTCACCTTTTAGGTCTCTTTGTCTTTCTTCTTCCTCTCTCTTTTTCTCTCCCTCTTTCTTCCTCTCTGTCTCTCTTTATCTCCTTCTCTCTTCCCCCCTTTTTTTCCCCTCTCTATTTGCCATTACATTTTACAGCAGAAGAAAAAATACCCCCTCCCCCACATTTTCTTTTTGGTAATTCAATACCATTTTGGAAATCACTATTACCTATTTCAGTTGTGTTTTTATATTTTTAATAAACATTGTTTTCATTTATTAGCACTACAGTGAGAGGTTAGTATGTTACCTCTTTTTAATAAAGACAGAATTAAGAAATGTTCTATCCTTTCTCATAGTCATCAAAAGGATTGTGACTATTAGGAATTAGACTTTGCTCCCTAAATTAAATCTAGTAGTTTAATAAATTAAACAGCTTTATAATAAATAACATTAATGAAGAACATGCTTTTAGAGTATATATCTCTTTTGTGGCAAGGCATGTCATATGTGATTCAGTAAAAGGTTAAAACAAAAGTAATTTCTACTTGTAAAATTAAAAAGACCAGGCTTCTTATGTAACCTTTGAGCAGTGGCATTACTAGGGTTGGTGTCACCCCATCCCCCCATTGACCTATTCCCATACCAGTCAATATAGAATCCTTAGTAAGGTCTATTATCAGTTTTAATCATAGAATAATATGTGATACAATTCTTAATTGTTTAAATGTAATATATTTTTGTTGTTTGTTGTTATGTGCCGTCGAGTCAAACCCGACTCATAGCAACCCCTCCTTGGGTTTCCGAGGCAGTATCACTACGGAAGTAGGATTGCCCAACCTTCCTTCCGAGGAGTGGCTGGTGGGTTTGAACCGCCAGCCATCTGGTTAGCAGGCAAGTGTCTTATCCACTATGCTACCAGAGCTCCCAATATATATTCTTATCTTAGAAGATTTTAAAAACAATGTCATTGTTAGTATTCATATAATCTAAGAATCTTAGATTATATGAATACTAACAATGACATTGTTTTTAAAATCTTTTCTACATTGAATTAAAACATTATTAGTTACAACATTATTAGTAACTGAGTAGAAACCTTTTATGATTTTTCTTTCTCTTTAATTATTACTTCATTCTCAAGTAAGTTATTGATACAGATTCACAAATACTGTTTATTACTATAATGTAGCTAGAACCATTGACAATATCAGTGACTGTAAAAACACCACAGCAACAAAAAGAAAGCACGTTTGTAAGCATTTGAAGCATGACTGTAATTGGGTAATGAGTGGAGCACATTAGAAGGTTCAAACAGTAAATTAATATAGAGTTTTAGCCTTGTAAGTATATTGATAATGTAAACTGGGCTTACAAAAAAATTGTTTCTGTTGTTATAACTACAGGGATATTTTTATTTTAAAGAAATGTTTTTTTGCTGAAAGACTGCACAAAAATTTTATGCACAGTCATTTTTGTGTCACTCCTTGGTGCAGTCTGTACCACCCCCACCTCACCATAGCCCATACTCCTAGTGATGCCACTACCTTTGAGTTTGGATGATTTGACCAGTATGGGGCTCATCTTTGGGAGGTAAATTATAGCATAAAGAAAACTAAGCATGTGCATATGAGGTATTCAGTCCCTTTATGCTCATCAAGAAATTATTGATTTAACCTGCATGAAATACATATTGGGCTAGATTCTTAGCCCCTCCATGTATCTATATCTATATGTGATACATAGATATAGATACAATGTCTCTTCATAAGGGCTAAAATGAGAACTAAAAGTAATGAGAATTTGGTTGAATATGGTCAATTAGCAAGGTACATTATTAATTAGTTCTCTTGATGCTTTACTGTGATGCAAAGTATGTGATGTATTTTCAGACATTTTATAATAATTGTTCTTATGTTAACTGTTATGCCAGATTTGTATTTCTGATACTTTTAATGTTCTTTTAAAATAATATTTGGAAAATAAAATATTGAAAATCCTATCATTTCTGAACATCAGTTTGTAATATGAGGATTTTCTTGTCCAATCATTTAAAAACCAGTGGAGTATGGCAATGATTATTTTTGCATAATGAGTAACAATGTGTTGAGCCTCAGAGGGAGAGTTAATTTCCTTAAGAGATGAAATAACTTGTTTGACCACATTTGGTAATATATGAAAACGAGTTACCATCAACTTGCCTTCAAATCATGGTGACACCATGTGTGTCGGAGTAGAACTGTTCTCCATAGGCTTTTCAGTGGCTAAATATTTTGGAAATAGATCACTAGATCTTTCCTCTAAGGTGCCTCTGGGTGGACTTGAACCTCCAGCCTTTCAGGTAGGTAGCAGCTAAGCACATTAACCATTAAATTGGGACTTTTGAACTTAAAGAGTAACCCAGGGACTCTGTCATATGTATACTCAGAGTAACCAAGAATAACTGTAAAAGTTAATTATTTACAAATCTAAGTTTCTCACTCAGTGGGACAAGTCCTGAATCAACATTTCAACAATTCCTTTAAAATGATTAACTTGGAAATATATACAGAATTAAAACTTTTTAAATTTATCAATCAGGGTTTTGTTTTAAGAATCAGAAAGCATTAATTTATGCAGAAGATGATTTAAAATTGGAAATTAGATAAGATTAGGGCAGGGCTCTATGTTAGGTCTCCAGAAAATATTCCATAATAAACCACCACCAGCCTAACTAGCCAGGGAGTACTGCTTATGCCACAACAAGGAAGGGATGGAATCAGGATGCCTCCCTTCGACTTTGCAGATAAGTGACACATTGCTGAAGTTGTCATCCAGGGATCCAGAAGCTGTTGCTACTGCCACCTACAATGCAAGTGACTGGACACCAGAGCACTGCTGCAGAAAATAAATGGCACCATGCATTTCATTGGTAGAGCCTAATTTGCTTCAGAAGGTTTTAGCAAGTGTTGTTGTTATGTGCCCTCGAGTCGGACCCAACTCATAGTGACCCCTCCTTGGGTTTCCCAGGCAGTATCTCTACGGAAGTAGATTGTCCCATCTTCCTCCCGAGGAGTGGCAGGTGTTTTGAACCACCAGCCCTCTGGTTAGCAGTCCAGTGCCTTAGGCACTATGCTACCAGAGCTCCCTTAGCAAGTGTAGCTCCACTAAAAAAGGTATACTCTGGTAGCACAGTGCCTAAGGTATCTGACTGCTAACCAGAAGTTGGTGGTTCAAACCCACCAGCCAGTCCACGTAAGCAAGACTGGGCAATCTACTTCCGTAAAGATTTACCACCTCGGAAATCCAATGGGGGTTGCTATGAATTGGAATTGACTTGATGGCAGTGGGCTTGTTTTGTTTGTTTGTTCGTTTGTTTGTTTAGAAGGAA